TCATGTTTGGTTTAATATTTCCCCTTCTATTAATTGCACGATTATCTCCTTTCATACGTTTACTTGACACATTATATGATCCCAATTTTAAATTTAATTTATTGTCGGTACAAAAATTGGCCAAGGACTCAAATTGTACCGTTTCATTTTTTTCTGACCATTGTGATTTTCATGACCTTTCAACGAAGAAGGAGATTTGTCGGGGCTATGAACGCAACAACCTATACTTTTTCCATCCCCCTTCATCAGCTGCATTAATCTCTACTACACCTGCCACTTGGCACTCTAGATATGGTCACCCATCACATAGTGTTTTTAAGCATTTATCTTCTATATTAAATTGTTCTTACTTTCATGAACTTTGTGATATTTGTCATATGTCCAAACAAACGCGTTTACCATTTTCTATTAGCCGTAGTTCTACTAATGCATGCTTTGAATTTATTCATGTTGATGTTTGGGGTAAGTATTCTACTCCCACCCGTAATGGTCACCATTATTTCTTGACCATTGTCGATGATTATTCTCGTACTACTTGGACTTATTTGATGAAATACAAATCTGATGCTTATCTCTTGTTTATTTCTTGGCTTATGTTAAAAATCATTTCAATACTTGTGTTAAGACCTTTCGTTCTGATAATGGTTCTGAATTCACCCAAATTGCTTTTCAAAATTTACTGCTTAAACATGGTATTTTACAATAGTTTAGTTGTCCTGGCACACCTCAACAAAATGGGGTGGTAGAACGCAAGCACCGCCACCTCCTAAATGTGGCGTGTGCTCTGCGCTTTCAAGCTCGGTTCCCTTTGCGTTTCTAGGGCGACTGTGTTTTAACTGCCACTTATCTTATCAATCGAACGCCTACCCCTATTTTAGACAATAAAAGTCCTTACGAATTATTAATTGGTCATGCTCCTGATTTTCATCACTTACGCATTTTTGGTTATTTTTGTTATGCTTCTGTTGTACATCATTCTGACAAATTTGCGTCTAGGGCCAGAGCTGCATTTTCCTTGGCTATCTATAAGGACACAAAGCATATCGATTATATGATATTGTTTCTAACAAAATTTTTTTTAGTCGTGATGTTGTTTTCCATGAAACTATTTTTCCTTCAAAACTAATGACCCCACTTTAGAATCCACTACTCCCCTTCCCACATTACCTTTACCTATCACTCTTAATGAGGATAACGAACAACCTGTTGCTATATTCAAACCACCATATGAAATTCCATCCACTCCTTGCCCACCTCCCATACCCCCACCACTATTCTCTACCACGTAACAACAATTCAATCCTTCCCTTGCCCCTCGCCGATCTCAAAGACAATCCAAACCACCTGCATATCTCTCTAATTACCAATGTCACATAGCCACCTCCACCCACTCATGACTCACCTACATACCCCATTTCCCATTTTCTTAATTCCCAATCATACTCATTGCAACACTCGCATTTTATAAACAACATCACCGAAGAAATTGAACCCACTTCCTACACTGACGCTTGCAAATATCTAAAATGGAAACAAGCAATGGAGGCTGAAATTCAAGCTCTTGAACATAATAACACTTGGTCTCTCACTCATCTTCCTCTCGGTAAAACTGCCATCGGCTGTAAGTGGGTCTATCGCATCAAGTACAATGCTGATGGGTCTGTTGAACGCTATAAAGCTAGGCTTGTCGCAAAAGGGTATTCCCAACTTGACGGTTTTGACTTTACTGGAGTCTTTGCCCCGGTTACCAATGTAACACCCCGTGTTACGACCCCTGAAACCAATTAATCCTTTAATCAATTACCCAAAAGAAAGAATTAAATTACAGAAATTAATTAGGAAAAAGCCCACCATAGTCCGTGGGCCCCCATCTCTAAACCCAACCCCTAGTCCTAGAAGGATTAGATCCTAAAATAAGACCCTTAGATATATAAATAGGGAACCTAGAGGGCACCTAGAACCCCCCACAAGAATAACGCCCCACCACCCCAAAAGAGCTCCAAGAATCCCCTTAGAAGAAATCAAGAAAGCAAGAAAGCTTAAAGAAAGACCCTTCATAGCCAAGGAATTAATTAAGGCTAAGAGGTAACCCATGTCTCAACAAAACCTATTTTTATAGCTATGATTTCCCCATATTATCGTGTATTGATGATTTGTGATATTATTATTGATGATTGATGGGATAATTCCATGGGTGATCTTGATATTGGGAGATTCTTGATAATTATGGTGTTCTTGATGATCATGTGGAGTTCTTGATGTTTATATGTCGTTCTTGATAATTGTATGGCATTCTTGATGCTTATGTGTTATTTATACCGAATCTTGTAATTAGAAGACGAATCGTATTCTTGTTGGTATAAAAGTGATTAGAACCCTAGGTTGTATCGTATGATATTAGTCTTGGTGTATCGGGTGGGGAAATCGCATGTTTGGGTGTCGATTATGTTTAGAAAAGCATGATAGGTTATGTGCCGTACGTTTCTCGTATTTGATCCGTTAACTGTCTACGTGTTGATCGTTAATTGCGTTGTAAAGTGTCTAAGCATGGTTTCGGGTTCCACAATGGTTCCCGGGGCGTTTTGTGTATAAAGAGTCAGTGGGGGGTAGGGGACCCCGCCACCTACCCGCGGCCAGAAGGGACGTCTCCGGCAGCGGGCAGCCGGCGGGCGGGCAGCTGCCGGCCGGCGACCCGCTGCCCGGAACAGTGCTTACCGGCGGGTGGCCCCCCACCCACCGGCTACCCGCTAGAAATCTCCCCCATTCGGGACCCCGGCTTCCCCGTTTGATGTTTCCCCGATCCCCGTGGTGTCCCAACGGACTCCGTTCATCGTACCGTGTCTAGTTTGATGTTTCGGGTACCGTTCGTAGGTTATGAGTCTTATATATTGCATGCTAGTTGAATTGGTATCCCGTTGACCTAGGTGGAAGAAGTATGAACCCCTTAGGACCATTCTTAGTATGTGAAGGATCACGCATTGGTTTTGTTATACGCTTTCTCCCCTTCCCAATGTGTTAATGTGGGTTGCATGTGCTTGCTATGTGTTATGTATGCATGACACCCCAATTCGGTTGCGATCGGATTGGTTATTCCTGAGCTGCGGTTCAGAAGCTGGCTGCGGTCAGATTTACACTCTTGCGCTGCGGTCCACCGTTTGGTTGCGATCAAACGTTTCTACATGAGCTGCGGTTCATACTTTCCTGGCTGCGGTCAGATGACATACTCTTGGGCTGCGGTCCACTGTTTGGTTGCGATCAAACTATGATGAGCTGCGGTTCATCGGTCGGTTGCGATCGACCCCTCCATGTTGCGATACGGGGCAGGGTGATGCGGGGCCGTGTCAAAGCTATATGCGCTGACCCTCATGTATGGGCATGCGATTGGTCCTGTGGCGCCAACAAAGTGTGCTATGTGATGAGATATGGATGAGTTATGAGTATCTTGGGGGATGGGACTATGGGATTTATGCTGGGGATTGTTTATGTTGGATTATGTTTATTAATTGTGCTCAGCTTTATCTGTCTTGCCTGTTGTGGATTGTATACGCTTGTTATAACTGTTGTTTGTGTCTAGCCTTATCTATCGAGTCATTCCCGGTTTTAAAAGCTAGAGTTCGTAGAATATATATTCATGCTCAAAATGGTTTTCGTATATCTATATATATATCTCTATATGTATTGTATTTCAACGCGTTGGAGTGGGTTACCAGCATCTCTCGCTGAATAGATATATTTGGCTTTCAGGCACAGAAGAATAAGTCACTGGAGCGCGCTAGAAATTGGAGCGTAGAAGTAGATAGTTTCCCTTTCGGCCTGCGTGCCATGCTTATGCATTTACATTATCAAGGATATTAGTTAGTTAGCCTGTGCATCTGAGTTCTCTGGCTCAGGTGTGGCATAGCACCCCGTACTCTTGTATTACGTTTTGGG